TTACTCTCCAGAACTGAGTATCTTTTTTTTCGGGCCAATTCAGCCACTGCTGAAATAAGTAGACTTACTTGGACTTAAACTAACTATATGAAAGTGTTTGGCCTATTTTAGAAGGACATAACTTCAATTAATTTTTAATAGTTTTTCAGCTATAGTTAAATTATATTAAATGCCGGATGCCGTGTGTGTTACTATAACAAATAACACACGTTTGCAACCACAATATAACTAAATATTAATGTTATGTAGTAAATTTGACCTATAAAATGATACCTGGTTTCCTTATATTGCCGCAAAGCCCCAGTGGCCTAATGGATAAGGCACTGGCCTCCTAAGCCAGGGATTGTGGGTTCGAGTCCCATCTGGGGTGGAAGCTTTTGCTTTTCTCCAATTGCAAAATGGGAAAACTCATTGGCAATATCATAATTACAGAAAAGAATAGGGAGTAATGCTGTTACGCTAAGTACATAGTGCTCTGACTCTCAAAGGGGCCGTGCACTTGGAGTCCTTCTTCCTCCGGCTCGCAGCCAATCAGGAAACGCTCCGCTCCGTTGGTTCCCTTGGACTTTCCCTTCGCCACATGATATCTGACTTCTCCTTCGCCTGATTCACCGTTAGCACCGTCCGTGTGTTTTTCTGTCTCTTCTTTAGCTGTTAACTGCATCTACACAGCCATGCCTTTAGTAACGAGGCTGTGTGTCTTTCTTTTATTCACTGCGGTTGCGTCCTTCGCCTCTGCTGACAGTAAGTAGGCCGACTTCATGTGAATCACGGGTGGTTGTATAAGGATCTGATTTCTCTAGTTTTCAGCATTTAACAAGCATTGGTTGGCTGTAAGCATGCATGCTATTCTGTATTAATGGTTTTTACTCACACTCTCTGTCAGCTGTATTTAATGTTTGTCGGAGATTATTATGTTCAGTGTGTTTTGTTTACCTATATACACTGAAGGGTAATACCCAAACTCACGAAGGCTGCTGCTACTGGGATCTTTTAGTTTCAGTTTCCCCTATATCCACAAAGCTATATTAACACAAAATACAGACTTAAGATAAGATAAGATAAGATAAGAAAACTTATTTGTCCCACAATGGGGAAATTGCAGTTTGCAACAGCATACAGAAAAAGGACAGAATAAAAAATAACAAGAGCAAAGAGTAGCTTATAAAACATAAATAATGAAAAAGAATAGC